TCTTTCCTATAGGCCCCCTTTAGGTACTGAAAGGCAGCAATCAGGTCTCCCCGCAGCCTTCTCTTCTCCAGGCTGAACAAGCCCAACTCCCTCAGCCTGTCCTCATAGCAGAGGTGCTCCAGCCCTCGGATCATGCTCTCCGGTCTGACTAGCCTTTGTCCCTGGCCTTGGGTGCCCAGGCAGGCAACGGATCAGGCACCTGCGGAAGCAAGCCTCCTTACCCGTGTGTGAGGGCAGGAAGCACCGTTGCACCCATCGGCGTGCTGGGACCCTGCTGTGGGGTCTTTTGTGATGATTTCATGATTGCAGGCAGGGATGCCTGCCACAGGACAGGATTCAGCTTGATAACACCACTGGTGTCTCTGCATCATTGGTCAAATCACACCACCATGCCTACATTCTCCCACTGTTTTGTTCCTATGGAGCACAAATGCTTTGGGATGGGCTTCTCCTTCCTTAGCACAATGCCTCATCTGTAGGTGGGCCTTTGCACACTGCTGGAACACCAGTGATACTTGGGGGACTCTCTTGATTTGCCACCTCTTGCCTCTGCGCAGGCAACAGATGATTCAGACCACGAGGGCAAACCCTGCAACCTTTCCTGAGTCAGACTGACTGATACCCTTCCTTCTCGAGGAGGGGCACTGCAGGAAATACAGTCTTAATCTTGTGAGGAAGGCACAGTTTGGGCTGTGGTTTGATTTTATGAAACCTTTGGAGGCAATAGGCAGTATAAAGTACTGTCATCCCAGCTCCTTCCTTTTGCTCTTACCCCACCCACGTAGTTTTTCTGGCAGAGCTGTGTGTGCTGTATGCTGTGAGCTTGGGAGGGCCACTGATCCCCTTGAGAAAAAACCCACATATTAAAAAATTTAACAGGGCACTTCTGGTACGAGTGGCACAATGGGAAACCAAACCACTGATCCGTAAGCGCAGCATGCTTAACATTTCCGGCGTGCTCTTCCATTTCTATCACCACCATATTGTGTGAAGGACTGGCTGAATGTTTTCAGTGTTTCTTAAAATGTGAAATAGCCTTCTGAAATAGCTTCCACATGGAGTCTTCTGCAGTTGATTTTTGTTTCTTTCTGAAATGTTTACAGCTTTTTTCCCCTTAATGAAACAAGATGGGTTTGGAGAAGTATATTTCCAATTTCTGCAGGACAAAAATCATTCTTCTCTAGCAGTGTTCATAGTCCTGTGCTAGGTGAGGTTGCTCAGTCTAAGAAAATGCTGCAGGCAGGGAGAGGAGATGGCAGTTATCACAAACTTGCTGGACCCTGAAAATCTCAGGGAATGAGAGTGACATTTCCCAGTGGTTCTCACTGGATGATTTCAGAACTTTCTTAAAGGAACGTGATCTAGATAAAAATTATTTTAAAAGGAGTTTTTGCCTAAGATCCTGGTAAATGAGTGACTAAGGCCTTTAGTCATTCAGACTCAGCTCTTTAAATGGTCTTTTCCTTTCCTGCTATTTAATTGACTTCTCTGCTTCGCTAAGGGCGTGATGCTGCAGACAGTTCTGGCAGCACCTGCTATCTGCGCTGCTCCTGCAGCTGAGCTGGCCGCCCCTGCGCTGGGTGCTGTACGGGTGCTCATGGCCGACGAGGCAGCCCACACCGCACGGAGCATTTCTTGTCGTTGCTCCAGAATGTGGCCCCGTGTCCCTTTCGACACGGATGTGTATACATTGTGCAGATAGGGACTGAGGCACAGAAAAAATTAGTGACTTCTCCGTAGCAGTTCAGAGGCACGAGCCCAAGGCTTGGCAGTTGGAAAGTAATGTCTTTGAGTTGGAAAGCTACCTGCAGAGCTTCCTAGTGGAGGTGCAGTCTTCACCAGTGCAAAATTGCTTTTCTTGGCTTTATTTCTGGAGGTGGTGGAGCTGATGTAACCGTGGTGGCAAAAGGGTGCAGTATGGGCCTGTCTTCAGAGCTGGGCAAAGTAAAACCCGAGGGCAGGAGAGGTATTTTTTCCTTCAACATTTTTCACCACCTGTTTGGAAAATTGAATCATCATGGCAGTGTCTGAAGAGAAAATACTCATTACCCCAAACTAAACAAAAAACATAGTCTGAAATTGAGAGTGAGACTTCACCCAGTTCCAAAGTTTTCTCTGGAAACCACTTGTCATTTTTGTGGAGAACAAACTGTTCTTCAAGGACACCTATGCCTAGGGGAGGGGCAGAAAATTTTGAACACCTTGGAAGTCATCAGTTTTGGAAACTTTTCTCCTGTCCCGAGTTTCTCACGCTGAGAGGACAATTTTGGACCTGAGGGGCAGGGATGGCTTTCCCTCAGACAACATTCGTCTCTTTGGCAGTTCTTCTGCCCAACTCTCCCTGCTT